ATCTTGTGCGCTTATTGATAATGATTTGATAGTTGATGAGTTTCAAACTGTCAAGGAAAAATATCGAAAATGTCTTAGGCAAGTTGATGCACAAATGCAATAAAATGAGCCAGTTGATGCACAAATGCAATAAAATGAGCCAGATGTAATTGAAAATGGCCTAGAAAATGTACAAGATATTCAACGATATTTAGCGATAAGAAGAGCTCAACAAATACTCCAACAATTTCTTTCAAGTTGAACAGATTTTTTTATCGATTCAGTAGCTACAACTGGAGCAATTGGAAGAGCTAAAACTGGTGGAGTAGTTTTCTTTAAAAGATCCCAAGAACTCCTACTCTTACTAATAAATATGGAGATAAATACATTAACTGGATTTTCTCTTTTTTTTTTCAACTTTTTTTTCAACTTCTTTTTTTAAAAGTTCAATTTTACTTTTTTTAAACTCATTTAGTAACGTAGCTTTTCTTTTCGCTTCGCTTACCCAGCTCTTACTCTTTTTTGGATTTTATTTTTACCTCTGACTGCTTCTCCTCTTCAATTTTACTATTGAGTATATACTTAACAATTATCAATTGGTTGTTTAGGGTTGCTAAGCATTTGCTCAGGAACTTGCTCAGATTGCTGCTTAACGATTCAAGATGGTTTTGCTACATCAACATGACTTATTGTTACTAAAGCAACAGTTAATGGAGCAATTCCTAATCCAAAATGGTCGTAGATTTCTCCTACAAGAATGCATAAAAGCTTTAATGCGTAAGAGCTTCATTATTGCCAACTGGAAAGACTTTTTTAGTTAACCATACAAACGTTTTTACAGCCATTTTTAAAATTGAATTTTCCATCCAACGTCCCAGTCTTTCTGTATATTGTGAATGAAGACTGGTTATTTGCTCATGCGTTGTTTCTGACAACTCTTGATAAGTTAACCGCTATCCAAAAAGCTTTGCAGTGTTTCCTCATGAAACAGCAGCAGCTAGACATGATCGGTTTTATAGAATTACCTTCTTCACAAGATAACACTTCAACTTCATCTGACTCTATTAAATCTTCTAATACTCTATCCATTGTTTTATTTCTTATATAGCGTAGAATCTTTTTTCTCCAAATACATGACACTAAACTTAAAATAATTGTTTCAAGCAAAAGTGAATTTATATAAATTAAAATCATAGCAGTTCTTCAGGACACACAATAAAAACAAGGGCTGTAGGCCTCCTTTTAAGAAGGCGCAAAAAAACTCACTGCTTCTAATTAAAGCAGTGAGTTTTTATATATGACATCAAAAGTGAGTATCAGCAACAAAGACAATCCATGCAAGAAAATGGCAGCAGATGTTATCTACCACAGTCTAATAGTTGGACTGTTTACTGTAGGAGTATCAAAAGCTGTAGAAAAATTGAAAATAACAAAGCGTACTGAACTTGATTTTGAAATGTCCGACTGGGGGAAATTTGCTTTGTTTCTAACTATCGGTGAGGTAATACGCCAAAAACTTGTTGACTACGAGTGGATACCAGCTAGCATTATGAAGAATAAAACTTCTCCAAAATTTCAAATTTAATAAACATAATTAATAACATAAGATGGCGGGCGTTGGGATAATTATCTTTGGTGCTATAGCTAATGCTGTAGCGTTTACAGGTAGTGGAATATTAGCTCAAACTCTCTTAGGAGATAAAAACAACAAATTGAAAAAAGTAATAGCTGAGAGGAATTAAAAAAAAATTGAAGCTATTGGTAAAATTAATAGTGGACTCCAAGCTGAAGAAGAATCAAAAGTTAGGCTAAACGATTTTGTTGAAGCTAGTCGCCTTTATTGGAAAAATGATTGTTGATAAAAATCAAATAGATAGTGATAAACTCCTTTCATTTCCTTTAAAACCTGAGTTATCAGATTTTTATCAACTAAACGAAGAAAAAAAAACTAACGAATATTTATTCGTCGCAGGGGCAGCAGTTATGGGAGGAGCAATAGGATGGTGTATAACTAAAACTAATAAATGTTTTTTTTTAAATCAAAACACAAAAAATTAACCCTACACAACCCGGCCGGATGTCACGTAAAATTAACAGTTTTTTTAATATTTTTGTATTTTTTAAATTTTTTGTATTTTTTATATATATATATATATATATATATATATATATATATATATATATATATATATATATATATATATATATATATATATATATATATATATATATATATATATATATATATATATATATATATATATATATATATATATATATATATATATATATATATATATATATATATATATATATATATATATATATATATATATGTATATATATATATATATATGTATATATATATATATATATATATATATATATATATATATATATACATATATATATATATATATATATATATATATATATATATATATATATATATATATATACATATATATATATATATATATATATATATATATATATATATATATATATACATATATATATATATATATATATATATATATATATATATATATATATATATATATATATACATATATATATATATATATATATATATATATATATATATATATATATATATATATATATATATATATATATATATATATATATATATATATATATATTTAAACAATTTAAAATGTATTCTACAAAAAGAGTGCTCAATGTTCTTAAAAGAACAGAGCAATTACAAATTAGAAGAAAATCACTTAACAAAATTTTTTCTCATTTAACACTGTGTTTCATCAATAAAGACTCGAGAAATCAATAAAGACTCATTTCTGATGAGTCTTTATTGATGAAACACTGTGTTAAATGAGAAAAAATTTTGTTAAGTGATTTTCTACTAATTTGTAATTGCTCTGTTCTTTTAAGAACATTGAGCACTCTTTTTGTAGAATACATTTTAAATTGTTTAAATATATATATATATATATATATATATATATATATATATATATATATATATATATATATATATATATATATATATATATATATATATATATATATATATATATATATATATATATATATATATATACATATATTATTTTCAGATATTTAATTGAAAGTTTGTTGCATTAATAATAAAATGGGTTTAACTCTTACAAGAGAAAACAATATTATAAGCTTTGGTCCTCCCGAGGATATTTGTTGATTCGCTTGTCAAAAAGGAGAACTCAGCATAATTAAAATGGTGCTCGAAGATTATCTCCTCGTATGGGATTCCAATTTTCTTATTGAGGCAGTTAGATTTAACCAGCTTGAAGTTGTAAATTATCTTTACCATAGCTTCCCTCCAAACAAAAAATTTGATCATACTTGGCAAATTGAAGCTTTTTAAAAAGTTGTGCATATTGGGTCATTGGAAATAGTGAAATTTCTCACGGGTGAAGAATGTAAGTGGCATTATAGCATTGTAGCTTTAGCTGTAAGAAAAAAACAAAAAGAAATAGTTACTTTGCTACATAACGCTGGTCACCCATGGGATAGATACAAATGTCTCGCTGTTAATGAGGCGTTCATAAAGATATTCCCGAGTAGAAAACTAAATATAAATGTCTCTCTGAAATAAAATATCCTGAAACTGTAAGATTTCTTATTGAACAAGGGTGTATATAAAATTGAATTATAAAGAAGCTCAAGAAGCTGTGGAAAAAAATAATGTAAACGCTTTACAAGCTCACATTGTAAAAAGAAATGCGTGGTATAATTTTTTAAGAGTTGATCCTGCCATTCAATAAATATTAGCTCCCAGATATAACAGGCACATATATTGAAGGTTATATTGAATTTGATAAAATATATATTTTTACTGCGAATGTTAAAAGCTATTCTAACTTCTTTATAGCTTGAGTAACCTTAGTTTTTTCTTGAATAGGCAACAGCTCAGTCATTGAAATAACTTTATCAGAAAGTTTTTTTATTTCTGACTACATATTCATATGTGCACTCGATGCTGCTAACCCTAGCTTATCTCAAGCGGAGTTGTGACCTCTTTTTACCCTGCAACTCACTTACATACCTATCAAATTCTTCTTTGTTATCTTTTATTATCTTAACGTGGTGTTTGCTTTTTGTGTTTTTTAACAATTCTTCCATTTTTATATTGTAAACACATCTTTCTAATTATATATTTACAATGAAGCTTTCTAAGATTTATTATAGTTCAAAAGGGTATTGGCGCGGTCTTGCTGCTATTAAAAAGCTTGCAGTTGCTTAAAAAGTTTCTGATCAAGAAGCTGGTGAATGGCTTAAAAAGCAAGCAATATAGCAAATTTATTTACCTGCCTTCACCTATATACTAAGAGTTAACGAAACTCATCCTAATAAAGTACATTAAGCTGATTTGCTTTATCTACTCATTGACAAAGTTGGTCGATATACTTATAAATATGCATCAATAGTTGTTAACGTCGCTATAAAGACGCTGAACCTATTACTAAAAAAACAGCTGCTAATGTTTCAGAAGCTCTTGCAAAAATATATTAGCGTGGCACTCTTACCTGGCTTAATCTTATCCAAGTTGATGCTGGATGTGAATTTAAAGGAGTTACTACAAACTTTTAGAAGAAAATAAAGTCCAGATCAGGCGAGCTGCTGCTGGAAATCATCGAGAACAGCCTATCGTTAAACGTTATAATTGAAAACTTGTTTAAAAATGTTGCCAGTATACTCAAGAGTTGCTAACAACTAAAAAATTAGTTGTATGGGTAAAAGGTTTAACTGATGTTGTAAAATTAATGTCCTAAGGGGGACAGTGGGATTTTTATTTGCTCATATACACCAATTTGGTGTCCCAAGCTGTTATTTCTAATCTGAGTGTGTTTTAGTTCAATTTGCTAGATAATGCGTTGTTTGTAGAAATAGTGCTTGAGATCTTTTTTAAACGCATTTCTGCAGACTTCGTTTTGCTTCTTGTTTTCTCCACCAGCTTCGAGAACAGAGTACATTTTTGATCTTAGTTCAACAAATTCTTAAATGAAGCGGACATTAAACTTGTCTTTGAATTTGCCGACAACCTTTATATTAGTTTCGTCAAAACATGGATGGTCTTTTGGAAATTTACTAAAATTGTAACAATCTTTATTTTCTTTCATATCTTTGTAAATATCTTTAGTTTCTACTTGGAATAATAAATTACCAGTCTCAGTATAAAGTAATTGCGCTCTTTCATTATACTTTAATTTAATCTGGTTGTACCAGAAATTGTACATTAGGTGCTTGCAAAGATTGAGGACAGCCTGACCAACATAAATTGGTCGATTAAATTTTAGTCTAGCTATTGTATTATGAATAGCAGTAAGATCACCATCAAATATTTTATGTGATAAATAAGCAACAAGCTTCCCTAATCGATCTTCTTCGATTCCACGAACAAGATTAATGCGTATACGCCTTTCGAAGGTTCTCCATGGTTTTTCTAAAGACGCTATTATTTATCAGCTTAAAAAAGTCCTTTTCTAAAGCTGTATTAGTAGCTCTAGCTCTTAAATCTGTATTCATCTAAATATAGGGAGCCATCCAGCGTTCCTGTTTAAACTTTACAGCTCTATAGATTTTTGTAGCCCGCATTCCGAGTGATTGGTAAAGTTTAATATTGCGATAATGAACAATGTATTTTTCTTTGTTTCGTAAATTTGAAACAAGCTTTTCACAATTTGTTAATTTTACCTTAAGCTTTTCTACCAATTTGTTTCTGGTATTCACTCAGTCACTCTTCTTTAACTATCATCCTCTCCGGAACAAAAGGGTAGTTATTATGTGAACCATGCAGTTCCTTAGGATACTCAATATTAACCTCTACTACAAAACCTTCTTGAGCATCATCTGGTGTTCTAAGCACTTCTTCAATCAAAAGCTCATATCATTGGAAGCCCTGACCTGGAAGAAACTGCATCATAGCCCAGCCTTACAAGTTATTTCCAACAAAATACATTATATGTGAATTTGATTTGCTCTCATCATAATCTAAACAGCCAGGGTTGTTAGCTTTTACAAAACGTTTTGAAACCATACTAATCCCGCCACGTAGTCTTTTTTCCATAAAGTGGTGCATGTCAATATCAATAAATAGCTCAAACTGAACTCCCGTCTTCTATAAGAGTGCATCCCAACTTATACCTGGACCACTAAAATAGTGTGTTGTCTAAACCATAGTAAGTCAAACTTGTGGTTTTAAACTTTTCAGAAACATCGGCTAAAGGTTTTACATCCTTTTTCAAGTAAATGTCATAACAATCGCCGAACGTTTTACAGTTAAAAGCGTACTATACATTTTGCGCGGGCTCAAAATCTTCAGTCTTAATACCATCTTTTAATATTTTTGAGTAAAAAGCTTCTTTTGGTGGCAAACATCGCTTGTTAAATCTATCAAAGCTGCTGACTTATTCATAGGGGTAGAAACCTTTACGTTTCAGCAGTAATAGCTTACTATCAGTTAAGTCGACTTGAATTATATTCAAGTCACCTATTTCAAGATTTTTTGCTAAAGCGTGCTAAAATGAGTTCATATACTGTAAATTGTTGATAAATTGCAATTGGCCAAGCTAAACTTTATATATTTTTTCCATAATCTTAAGAATACAGCTAATCTAACCCTTTTAGTTTTACCAAGGGCCTGCATGATCAGACGAGAATCATAGCCACGCAAATTGAACTTAGTTATACCAGACCTGGTGCGAAGCTTAAGATTGCATTCATTGTAAGCAGCAGCTTGATATTTTCCTGTTATATGACAATGATAACAAACCATATCAGCACCTAATTTCAAATGTAGCAAACTGTTGTTTCTGCAAATTAAATTTTGTTAGCATTAGTCATAACAATTTTTTTCGGATTCCTAAATACTGCGTTAATTCTTCTCAACTCATTTTTTAAGCTTGCGAGAAAGTGTTCTACTTCATCAGCACCGCAATATAAAACTGTTTCTTTAAATTTACCATCGCTTCGGAATGTTATTTAATAGTAGTAGATACATGTTATTTAATACTAGTTAATAGTAGATACATGGGGTCTTTTTGCAATTAAGCGGGTAGAACTTTTAGTTGGATGGTTTTGTACTCCTTCCGATGGAATATTTAAACATTCAAAGTCAGCATAAATAACGTAGGGAACTTGCATTTGCTTGTGATAGCTTGTGAATTAATAAATGTCGTCTTTTCCTTTTTCAGGCATCACGTGCGTTATATCCGATCCCTAAGTAATTCTTGCGATGAGCTTTTAACAATTCAGCAGTATTAAATACGTGGAGGCATCGACGACAAGAATGTTTTGCTGTTTTATATTTGTTATTATAATAAACCATTCCCGCCAGATTTTTAATCCAAACAAAGTGCGATTTTAAAACTTTTTGAATTAGTAGAAGATCGAAATCAATTTTATCTTTTTCATTTCTTATATATAATGGATATAAGTTATTATTCCATGCAAAAACATTGATTGATAGTATTGGGTTTCTACGTTTGAACTTTGCAATATCGCCTATTTTTACTGAAAAATTAAATCCATCAAAATTAAGCTCTAAGATAATTCTCATACTTTAAAGTACGGTGAGGGTTAGAATTTGCTGGGTGTAGCGCTCTAAGAATAGCCCACTCAACGCAGGGGTTATTAGTATTTCTATCATTGATAACACAGCGCTTTGGAATGTAGCTTGGAGTCTTAATGTATGGTTTATCTTTGAATGGGGTATATTTAGAATAACTAATGTGGAGTGATTCGCAACGCTTCAGTTGCTAACCTGAACCCTCAGAAGTAAACTTTTCAAGAATTTCATTAATTTTTGCTGGTGCTGTGTCCATTAAATCTTTAATATTTTTTGTTAAGAATAGATGCAACACTGAGCGCAGGTGATATATTTGTTGTATATCTTCGTTCAAGTTTATAAAACTTTTTTTTTTTTTTAATATTATAACTATTATTGTAAGTACTGGTTAGGTGCATAGTTTATCTTATTTGTTTTAAAATTTTCCTTTATTTTTGTCTTGACAACTGTCAAAATATGCTTCGTTCGATAAATAATTCTCTTATACTCATTTCTTCCCTCAAGCGTTCACTGCTCGTGTGTGACCATAAGGCGAACTTTAAATGCCAAAGTTTTTAAATGAATACTGGTGGATATTAATCGGAGTTTTTTCTTTAATTTTTTCTGACTCATTTTGTCAAATAATTCAATTTTTACTTTTTCTTATACATGGAACATATTAATTTTCTGCTTCTTCAATAAGCTTTACAAAACGTCTTCAAATATTATTTAATAAACTAATATTAAATAGTTTTTTTTGATATTTCAAAATTTTATATCGGTTTTTAAAAACTTTTTCGATTTTTATTTTAAATATTTATTTTAAATAATTTTAAAATCAGAATTTAATTTTAAATGATTAGGTCGATTCGGTTTTTTTGTTTCTGTTTTCACCGAAAGAATATTAAATGAGGTACTCGGATTGGCGGGATGTTCATTTGGGAAAAAACACCTCGCTCAAACAGGACATTTTTAAGGTCACGCGATGTTTGTTTACAAATAATCATTCACGTCAATTTTTGAATTAAAGACTAAAAAAAATAGTTTTGATTTAGGGGAGAGTTGCCAAAATTGGAACAGCGCCTTTATTGGATTTATTTTTGAAAAAAAATGAAATATGGCTATATTTTGCATTTTTTTAGTAAAACGCGTTATTTTCTACGTTTTGACACATTTTGAAAGTTATTCCTCAAAAAATACATTTGCACCATTGATTTAAAGTTTTTTTTGCATCATTTTTTTTCAGTGATCTAATTTTGCTTTCTCACTATATTGATTACGCTAGGTAAACTATAGTGCAATAGGTTATACGGTTTTTTGTGTTTAATTCAATGGGATTTAAAATACAAAATAACAATATAAACTTATCTTATAAGTTGCTGCAAGCATATTATTGCAGTAATATAACATAATAGTCTAAAGTTTCCTTGATTGGAACATTAAAGTTTTTTGTACCTAATCAGTAAATTTGATCCACTAAGAATTCTTCATATAAATATCAGAAGCCTAAACCGCAATTTCGAAAATCTTCCCAATTTGTTATAAGAAACCAACAATTTTTTAAATATAATTTGTTTAACTGAAAGCTGGATAACTGAAAATGATTGACTACTTCAAATTTTAATCTTCCTTTCTTTGAGTTAATTTCTCAAAAGAGACTTATCAATAAACGCGGTGGAGGAGTTCTTATTTATGTAAAGAAAAGTATTGCGCATTATGTTAGGAATGATTTAAGTATTTCTGACGGAGACAAAGAAATTTTAACTATTGAAATTCTTAACAATCAATCTAAAAACATGTTACTGAGCTGTTGCTATAGGCCTCCGATCGGTGTGGCTGAGAACATGAACATGTGTTTTAAGGAAAACCTATTCAAAAAAAGCTTCTTTGAAAAAAAAAAAGAATATTAATGTAGGGGATTTCAATATGAATTGCTTCCACTACTCTACGGACATTAAAGTTAAAAAATTTTATGATTCTATTTTTGAAATAAGAACGATTTCTTTAATAAATCGTCCTACCAGAGTAACTCCAAAATCAGCTACTCTAATTGATAACATTCTAACAACTGATATTTTTAACAGTGACATTAATAAAGGTATCTTAAAAAAAGGCATATCTGACCATTTCCCTATCTTTTTTTACGATTAACTTCAACTCTAAAATAATGACTAAAACAAACATAAAAGTTAAATTACGTAACTATAATCAAAAAAACGTTGAGGAATTTAAAACACAATTATCATTGCTCCATTGGAAGAACATCGACTTTAGTGATAATGCAAACAACATTTACGATAATTTCTTTAATACATTTTTCTCTGTTTATGATGCTAATTTTCCTTTATATGAAAAAACAATAAATCAAAAAAAACATTAATTCTCCCTGGGTTACCAAAGGTTTAAAAAAATCATCAAAAGTTAAGCAGAAATTATACATAAAATATCTAAAAAATAAATCACTCGCCAAAGAGAAAATATACAAAGATTACAAAAATCTTTTTGAAAAAGTTCGAAAAAACTTAAAAAAAAATTACTATTCTAAAATTCTCAATAAAGCAAAAAATAACTGTAAACGCTCTTGGGAAATAATAAAAGAAATTACCGGTAAATCTAAATCATGCTCGGGTTCCCTGCCACACATGATCAAAGTGGATAATAACAATATAAATAATTCTGAAACAATAGCTCATGAATTCAATAAATTTTTTGTTAAAATTGGCCCTAAACTAATTAAATTAATTCCTAATACAGAAGTCTCATTTAAAGATTTCTTATTACCGATGAATAATTGCACTCACTCGGATGAGTTATCTAAAGAGTTATTATTTGATGAGTTCAAAAAACACTAAAAAAAATAAAGCAGTTGGACCGGATGAAATCAATGGTAACATAATTTTAGATTGCTTTGAACAAATAAAATATATTCTTTTTAAAGTCTTTAAATCATCAATAGAACAAGGAGTCTTCCCTGATCAATTGAAATTTGCTAAAGTCTTTCCACTTTTCAAAGGTGGTGACAAATCTGATATAAGTAATTACCGGCCTATTTCTATCTTATCTATATTTTCAAAAATATTAGAAAGAATCATGTTCAATAGAGTATTTAATTATTTTAGTTTAAATAATTTATTATACAAAAATCAGTTTGGCTTTAAAAAGAATAACTCAACTGAGCATGCAATTATCCAGTTGGTGCGTGAAATTTCCAATTCTTTTGAAAAATCTCAATTTACATTAGGAATTTTTATTGATCTTTCAAAAGCATTTGATACTGTCGATCATGATATTTTGCTTATAAACTTAGTTATTACGGAATAAATGAAAGAGTAATTAAATGGTTTCAAAGTTAATTATCGAACAGAAAACAATTTGTTTCTTGTAATGAACTTAATCATAAACAGTTTTTAAATGTTTCCTGTGGTGTTCTGCAAGGTTCCATCTTAGGCCCTCTTTTATTTCTAATATCAACGACTACGACTTTTATATCTAATAATCAACGACTTGCATAAAGCATCAAATCTTTTAAGTATTATGTTTGCTGATGACACAAACTTATTTCTCTCTAACAGTGACATCTATCTCCTTTTCTCTATGATGAACAAAGAACTTCAAAACATATTTAAATGGTTTAAAAGTAACAAAATAACATTAAATATAACCAAGACAAAATGGATTTTTTTCCACCCGCTCTTCAAAAACTACCTCCAAATATACCAAAAATTCTTATTGACCATATTGAAATTAAAAGAGATTCTGTAATTAAATACCTGGGGGTTTTTATTGACGAGAACATCACATGGAAACATCATATTAACTATGTTTGCTCGAAAGTTTCAAAAAGTATTGGAATTTTATATAAAACGCGTACTCATTTAGATAAAATTAACTTAACTAAACTTTATTACTCTTTTATCCACAGTTATATAAGTTATGAAGTTATAGCCTGGGGTAGCACTGATCAAAGCAAGTTACAATGTCTCTATCGTCGTCAGAAAGATGCGATCCGTTTAATTAATTCTGCGGATCGGTTCGCACATTCCTCAATATTTTTTAATCAAATGAAAATCTTAGATATATATAAACTAAACGTATATAAAAATTTATCTTTTGTCTATATGTGGAAGCATGATTTATCTCCTTTGATTTTTAAAGATCTTTTTATTTTGAAACCATTAAACAAGTTTAACATGAGGAATAATAATTATTTAAATGAACCATTCTGTCGAACAAAATTCAATCAATTTTGTATTACTTATCGTGCAGCTCATCTCTGGAACAAAATTATTTTGCCTAACTTCGATTTACCCCTAACTTATCCTGTTTATAAAAGTAAATTAAAAGACCACATTCTTTCTATTAAAAATATCTTAGAATATTTTTAGTTTATTTTGTAATAAAAAAAAAAAATAATATTAGTTTTTATTGTCATGTATGTTCAAGTTATTGTGATATATGTTCAAATTTTGTTTTATACCTGTTTACAATTTATTTTCATTTATGTAAATACGATTTATTGTTTTTATTTGATTTTTTACGTACTTTTATCGTAAAAAAGAGTTTTTATAATATGTTACATACTCTCTTTTGTAAAAGGCTTCTAACGATAAGATCATTGTGATCTTCTTTTAGAAGCCTTGTTTGTATTTGAAAAAAAAAATATGTAATTTATATATTACGTCAAATGTAGTGTTAAAATCAAAGGGTTGTAAAAATAGTTCGAGTACAATTAAAAAATACTTTGTAACAACCATAAACCGTAAAAATAATACTTTATTTAGTGATTTTTAATCCGTAAAATTAAGGGAACGGCATAATAATTTAATAACTTTTAACTTTTAAAAGTTAAAAGTTATTAAATTATTTTTTTATCACATTTTTATCAAAAGTTACCAAAAAAGTTTTTTTTTTTGTGCACTTTTATTATCTAAATTTATATAGCAAAGGTGCACAAAAAAAAACTTTAGCCTTAAAAGACAAATGTTAAAGTTTTATAAACATATGGTAGAACGACTTGAATTGGCATGAGTGCGAAGCAGTTACAAAAACTGGCACGAGTGCGAACTGGCAAAGTGCAAATTGGCATAAATGCGCAGAACAAGTTGGCATGTAACAAATTGGCATAAGTGCGCCGTACTTATACCAGTACTGGCATAAGGGCGCCGAACAAATTTGCAAACATAAGTGCTAACAAATGCTTCGCACTTATGCTGATTCGCTGTTATGAAATTCGCGCATATTCAGTTGTCCCCCGGTAGGTCATTGGCAAGATCTCGCCAAGGCGGGATGAATAATTTTACATATGAACGCAATGTTAAAATTATATGTTCTAAATTATATGAGACAAGATCTCGGTAGTTTTTCTATCCCAGTTAGGCTGAACTAACCGGGATAGAAAAACGTTAACATTTTTACATTTTTACTATGGATTTTTATCCATGCGAGCATCCCATAGATTTTTACCCCGCAAATAATAATTGATTTAAACTAATATTTTCTCGCCAAAATGTTTGACACTTAGCAAATTAAAATAGAACTATTTGAAAATCGTTTATACTTATTTTAAAATATATAAAAATGTTTTTAATGTTGCATTATTGTTTTAAAAAAAACTTTGGCTTAAAAAATTATCATCTTTATTTGTACCAATCAAACTTTACCTATAGCAATGTTCATCTGTTGACAAGTTAATTTTGTCAAATAAATTTAAGGTGGTACCCAGCTATTATTTCTATTTTCTTATATTTTACACAAATTAAATACCATTTATGAATTACTTGCATGATAGATAAAGATCTAAAACGTAATACAAAAATTTCTTTTGATTTGAAAAAAAAATTGCTGACTTAGCAAAAAAAGGTGAAAATGTTTATGTCCCAAGAACATAAATATCTTAAGATTACATCAATACAAAAAGGTTGAAATTATGCGAATTTTTAGTATTTAGGTGTAGCTTGTGCCTTAACCAAAAATCTTTTTAAAAAACTTTAAACGATCAAAAATGGCAGACTTAATAATATAAAATACTATTTTTACGATAAAACACTCATTTGGTATGGTAATAGTAGGTTAAGTTTTTTTTTAATTTTATTTTAGGTTCAGGCACTAAAAACATGAACATATCTTAAAAATTTGAAGATAAAATGTTTTTTTTATTGAGATATCATTGTTTTCCTACACTCAAAAAAAAAAAAAAAATTGAGAAAAAATCAATTTTAAAATTATAAACCATGTGCACAACTCAGATTATGTGTTTGAGAAGAATATTAGTGATTTTGGAAAAAATATTTTTATAATTGAATTCTACAAGGTTCAATTGTCTAAAATAAACACTTTTTCAAATTTTAAATTTTATTTCATTTTTTACCAAAATAATGGCTGGATACCACCTTATGCTATCAATTTTTAACTGCTATTGTCATTATTGCGAGTGAACAGCACCTTTTAAAAAGATTTATTTCCAATATGATATCAATAACCCCTTTTAAAAGTGATTTTAGCCTTGATAATCAATAACACTTTTAGAGAGTGATTATAAATGAGATAATGAAGGTAAAACTCTTCTAAAAATGTAGAATCATGCTTTTTTCGATCTTTGATTTACAGAAATTTTTTTTTGAGTTAATTGGCAAAAAGCGTGGTTTAAAAGTGACAATTTATACAAATTAGATAATATAATTTTCTGTAATTTCTCAGAAACTCCGTGCCTATAAGAAACAAAATTAGCATTTTTCCAATTAAAAAAATCCTTTTCAAAATTATTCGTGTAATGGAAGTGTATTTGTACGCAGCACATGTAAATCTTATTTGATTTTAACACTTTCAACAAAAATTGGAAAGGCGAGCAGTAGCTGTTGCAGATAAAGTAAAGTTGATTGCGAACTAGTTTTTCAATATATCCCCCTATAGATAGAAAGATGTAAAAATGATCTAAAGATCTGCTTGAATTTTCACCTTGAATTTGAATTGCCGCATGATTACCTTGTTATTGATTCTTACAACTTATTTAGCAAGATCAAAAAAATAAAAAGATTATACAGGTAACAACGCCATATTTAATAATTTAACATAATTATCTCAAATTTATCATAAAAATAACCTAATGTGAATTCATCTAATAATAAAAATAAAAAAGGTAAAAAAAAATCACATCTTTACACAAAAAATTCTTCATTTTAACCAATAAAATTTATGACAACAAGATGCAGAACAACATTAGCGAAAATAAAGTCAGCAAATGCACGTTCAGCGGAAATTCCTTTGAATTCAGATTTGTTTCGTGGGTTAGTCTGGACTCGTAAACACACTAAATCAAAATACAAATTTAAATATATGTAATAACTACATATGTACTTTAATTTAACAGCCATAAAACAATATTACACTATTACATGAGGAATTTTAATTTTTTTTTTTTAATTTAGTTAATTTTTTGTAATTTTGCTTATAGT